ACCCCATCTGTCCCATTTTTCTGATGAGCAGACTAAAGTCGAGGGACAGGGAGAGCCTTGTGTTAGTCATCCTTACAAGTTTCTGTCCCCAGCTACACCACAGAAACCCGGACAGCAGTGATCCTGCCTGGGTCATCTCTACAACCAGCAACACATATAACATTCTGCCCGGACTTAGATCCCCAAGTCCCCTAGCTTGGGATAGATCCTTCTTTTCACTGAGAACAAGCCCCAAGGCCCCACATTTGGCATCATCAATGCTTACCCAACACCAAAACCAAGCAGAAAGAGTCACTCAAGTAGGGCTGGGACCCAAGGAATACAAACTCACAATAGAGTCTACTGTAAGCCGAAAGAGCAGGCAGACAGAACAGGAGGAAAACCTGAGCCTCTGAAAAAGTTTCCTTTCAAAGCCTCTCCATCAGCTCACTCCTTTAACCCCTGCACTAGAAGGTGGGCAGGGCTAGCATGATTCCAGCCAGGGTTCAGATGGCTAAACTGAGACCCGGATAGGTTACAGGGGCTATAACTGGGACTAGAACCATCCCCCAGCCCAGCCCACTGCCCCTCACCTTGGCTCAGAGCAGAGGGGTCCCTTTACCTGGGCGCCCCTAGCCCCAGCCCCATCCCTGCCCCGGGCCGCATCTCCCTGGATCCCCCTTCTCAAGGGCAGGAACTCAGGCCAGAGCTCATCCACTCCCTTCAGTGAGTTTTTCCCGAACACATGCTTGGTGCCAGGCGCTGGGGGTATGTGCCCTGGTGAAGACAACATACCTCCCAACACTGGATGGGAGAATGGACTGTCAGTAAGTAATCACAAGAAAATACCAGAAGGGTTTGAAAGAAGCTGCTGGTGCTTTAGCCATAGAACAGGGAAATTCAAAGGAGACTTGGGAAGGCCTTCCTGGGAAGCAGTGTTAGAGCTAAGCCGGGCACTCAGCGTGCGGGGAGCGGGGCAGAGGCAGTAGAAACCCCGGGGCTGCACCCAGGCCCTCAGCACCCTTACCCTGACCCAGGAGTCACCCCTCCTGAGCTGAGGGTTGGGGGTACTGGCCATGGGGCGGGCTCTGCAGCAGGGCTCAGGGAAGCCCTGCCCCTCCCCAGACCTTGACCACACCCACCTTGTTGAGCCGCTGGATTTCCTTTTCCTGGTACTCCCGCTGCCGGGTGAGGGGGCTCAGCTGGTCCTGCAGGTACTTGACCTTCTGGCGCAGCTCCTTGGCCTCTGCGGTCAGGTGCTCCCTGTCAGTCTGCAGGGGACACGGGTCTGGTGTGCATGGAGTCTCTGCAGGAGGCCCGGACCCCACGACTGCCTGCCTCGTCCCCGGGTGACCGCACCTCCCCCCCTCACTCTCACTCCGCAGCCCCATGATGCTCATGCACAACGCCCTGTGCAAGGCACCCGCCTGAGAGTAGTAATGTCCACATGGTCCTGTCCTCAAGGAAAGGGCGGCCCAACTAAGTGAAAGGCCCCGGGTTCCAGCACCACCTCCTCCAACAGCGAGGTGAGCCCTTGGGCATTGTCACAGCCTTCTCTGGTCTAAGCTCATCTATCTGCCATGGATAAGGGGTTCCTAACAGGAGACACAGATGGGCTTCAGGAGATCTGTGAGCCCCCACAACGAGTGCAAAATTTTGACTGCAATTTATAGAGAGAAAAGTCACAATTTCTACCAGGCTCACACAGGGCTCTTCTACGATGCACAGAAAGTGATGTCACTGAAAGTCTCCAAAGGGCCTCTCAGTTCTTACAGTCTCCAGGTCTAGTGGAAAAAAGACCCTCAGAGAGATAAACACAGCATGAGGCGGAAAGGGGTCCTCCACAGAGAAACAAAGTCCTATGAGATTAAAGAAAAGAACACTCCTGCAGAAAAGAAACTGGGGAAGGCTTCAAGGTGGAAGCCCCGCTTCCATAGGTACTATGGAACAATCCAAGTTCTTTACTGCAAACAGTCACAGCTGGAAAGGCCCTCAGAGAGCATCAAGTCCTAGCCCCTTTATAGGACTATCCAGAGGTGACTTATCCAAGACCACACAGTGAGCTAGAGCTAGACAAGAATCCAGGTCTCCTAATTCTGGTGTTCTCTGTCCCCTTGCAAGCCAAAGGGAGGGTTTAAAATAGAAGAGGACAGTGTGGTACAAGGGCAAGGCATACCCACATGAAACTATTTCTGTGTGTTTATGTGTGCTAAGAGGCCTGGAGAGATACACCCAAATGGAAACAGTGATGACCACTGGGAAGGGCCTGGAACTGGGGGATGGGGTTGTAAGGAGAGATGGTCTGGGGACACTCCCAACTGTAACTGTTGTGTGAACATGTCAATATTCTACAAACTAGCTGGTGAGATGCTTTCATCTGGAGATGACAGACAGCAGCCTTGGCTGGATCTTGTGGGAGTTGTTACAGGCTCCCATGTAAGAGGCTCTGGGTCTGCACGGCCTCTATGGCTCCGTGTTCCTATCCACAGGGCCACGCTTTGTTCTGAAAATTCCACCTTTCCCTCTGCTGACCGGGAAGAGCGTCAGATGCCAGGAACTTAGGCCACCCACTGAAGTGAGCTAGGGCCAGGCTGACTGCCCCAGCTGTGACTGTGCTCTCAGGAGAAAAGACTGGCAGTGTCCCCCATAATACACATCCCCAGGGACTAGGTGGTCACCAGGGCAGGCTGACTGCTCAGAGAAGGCCCCTGCTGACGGGAGCGAGCTCTGAAATGCAAACCATGTTGGAATGGCCATTTTTAAGTCAGGCAAAAGCAGCCTCTGCCTAGTTCTCATGAAGGTGAACACATGGTGACACAAAATCTCCAGAGAGCCTGGGGGTCAAATGGCCTTTCCTCTTGACGCTGCCCCAGGATCAGGGCCTTGGCTGGTGTCAGTCATATACACGACAGGTCAGATGCTCCTTCAGGGACCTGTTCCTGCTCCCCCGCCATACCCTCCGAGTGAATCTGACCTCCCTTCATGTTCTCTCCCTGTAACTTCTCCTGTGTTGTACTTAACACACATCTACTCATTTACTTCTGTCATTAGATGTTCTATGTCTCTTCCCCCAGGGGCGGGGGTGGCCGTTCACTGCTGACCCCGTGTACCCAGCGCTGTGCCTAGTGCATCACTGTTGAACAGTGATCGGATGAAGGACCAAAGGAAGCTCTGTCTAATGCTGGAGCCCCTCCCTGACAACAGCCATCACCACTGTGCAGGTTCCGCAGCACCCGCCCCCATCAAGTGTACTAGAGCTGGTCTGGGGAATCTTTTCACATTTTGTGCTTCCCTGTACAGTTCCCTAGACCATGAGACTTTCAATTAACAAAAAGCTCTCCATATGAAAAAAGAAAAAAATGAAAAACATACCTAATCCAACCTCAATTTTCAGGTGGGAAACTGAAGCAGAAGGCAGGAAAGCGCTTTTGCCTCAGGCCACACAGGCCTTGAGTCCCGGAGTCAGAGAGGGAACCGGGTCTCCCGACCCCCACCCCCAGCTCCCAGCTGATGGGGAGGAGAGAGCAGGCCTCCAGAACTGAGTCTTTGAGACCCACAGTGACACTTGCCTCCTCCATTTCTATCTTGGACTTGGCCAGGAGCAGCTTGCGGTCAAAGTCGCGCTGCTTCTGCTCCCGCTCGGCCTCCAGGTCGGTCACCTGCTTCTGCAGGTCTGCCAGCTTCTGTCGCAGCTCTGTGATCTGGGTTCAGAGGCAGAGAGAGGGAGTGTGTGAGGGCCGGGGCGGACACCCACTGTTCAAGGCTGCGGTGGTGAGGGAAGCAGCATGCGCGGCGCTGAGGATGCCCTGAGAGCCCCGCGGAGAAGCAGGGGTGCGGCCTGGAGTTCCCATCACCCTCACAATACCTTCTGCTCGTACTGCTGCTTCATGGACCGGAAATGCTGGTCCCATTGCTTGTTCACTTCCAGCAGCTGCGGGGGAGAGACTGGGGTTAGCAGGAGATAAGCAGAGGAGGACCAAAGACAGCCAACGCCACCACCACCAGCCTTGCAGGCACATCGTGCAGCACGTGTGGGTGGTGGGTCCACACGCTGCCTTGATCCCGTGCTTCTCACAACCTTTCCTCAAGTGAGTCACCTTTACCAACCGCCACATTTTGCCCTCACCAGGAAAGCAAGACTAACACCAAGACACAGAAACAGTACATAATTCTGGTAAAGAATATGGGACCTACACCCATGCAGAAGGGCAATTCAGGACTATGTATTAACTTCAAGTTCTCTTTAACCAAATAATTCCACTCTGAAAGATGGTAACCAAAAGAAGCACTCGCACAAATGTAAAAAATATGTGGAATAGTGATCATCTCAACAATGTTTATACTGCAAAAAGATCGAGGCGAACTTGAGCACTGGAAATAGGCTAAGAAAATGATAGACTTATACAGAAAACGGAGCACTACACAGCTACTCAGAAAGTTGGGCGCCTCATACATTGCCTCTGCTCTGAGATGACACTAATTACTTGCCATAATTTTGATGTATCGACAATTCTTCAGTGAAGGAAAACAACCCAACACCGTTAAATTAATAAAACGATGGAAAGGGCATCCTTTCCAATTCCAACAACATTAAAATATGATAAAAAGTACTCAGAATTAAAGAATCACAGAGTACGCTTTTATGTACAAATATAATAAATACCCTCAAAGATACAGCTAATTTTAAGGAAAGAAAGGAAAAAAGCAATCTGCAATGTGGTATTTTAATATTTTTACAAATGTCATATATTAGTAAGTACACAGACAAAATTCAGGAATATGCAAAGAACTGTTATCAACTGTGGTCATTTCCAGGAGGTGAGATGCTACATCTTTTTATAATGAATATTTTTTTATAGTATCTTTGTAATAAAAAAAAAAATCTTACAGCAATACAGAAAGAAAACATGAATATGCACCTAAACAAAAGACCAACGGAGCCTAACTTTCAAATGTGCTGGAGGACCAGGGAGGGCAGAGAGCTCAGGGATTGAGACAAGGGCCTGCACTGTGTGGAGAGGAAGGGGCTTGGTCAATGGAGATTAGGTTCCCACCTCTGGTCCAGAAACATCAGGGGAGGAATATGCATGAGACACAAGGGAAGAGCCTCAATTTCTGGAGACTCTCGGCTGATTGGAGCAGTGCTACAGGCACGTATGGGGTCTCTCCTTCTGTGACAGACCTTCCTGAACCAGCTGCGTGGTGACAGCTGAACCCCAGGCTCCCCTTTCCTGATGCTGCGTTTGCCTCCTTTCACAACCTTTCACCACCATTCAGGGTTCGCCACAGGAGACTTTCTAAACTCCCCCCTCAACAATTATAGGCCATGCCCTGAATGCCATGTCCTCAGAGTGACTCCTATGGGCAGGGGGACTGATCAGGAGACAAGAGCCCAGGGCAAGGCAGCATGTCTTATCCTTGGGCAGGTGGTTCAGTGGTCACCATGACAACTCAGAGACCAGTCAGAGCCAGGGGCCAGGAAAGGCCTTTGCCCTGCTGGTCCCGGAAGGGGGAAAGGATCTTTCCCGGCGCCCCAACCGCTTCCAGCCACCTACCTCTGCGCGCTGCTGTTCCAGCAGCCTCACCTTCTTCTCAGCCGCACCCAGGGCCCCCAGCTCTGGGGTTTTACCTGTCGTCACACCAGCCTGAGGAGGAACACAGAGGGGCCTTCAGCAGGGCCTCAGGCAGCACTTCTCTCACCCACTCAGTGCTCCTCCAAGGCCACTCACCCCTGAGACCCAGCCCCCGGTCTCCTGCCTCTCTACCCTCTCACCCACCAGTCCCAGCCATAATTGAGCGTCTTAGGGACGTCCACACAGAACGTTATTCCCCTTCACTGAGCCTCAGTGGCTCCGAGGCCCTTCTTACCCCTGCCCCCTCCCCACAGACACTTCTTTCCCTGTTCAGGCTCTATCTCTATGGCACTGCTGACTGCCCTCCCCTCCTCCACACATCAGCCAAAAGTCCTCTGAAGGCAAGAGTTACCTACTTTTAAAAATATTTTATAAAGTGTTTATTTTTAAAATGTTTTATTAAAAGATATACAAATAAAGACATGTGCATGTGTGATCAGTACATGTATTTCCTTGCTCTGGCCTCTGAGGGGGCCTAAAGCAGTGTCACTCAGGTAACAATGAGCACAGATCTTGGTCTCTAAATAGCATTCTCCAACAAAAAGAAACAGGGCTCCTTGGAGACGTGGTTAATTTCATGGCTGGGGCAGGGAAAATATAAGGTGAGTATGGAGCAACTTGTGATGCTTTAGAAAGTAAGGAAGTGTTCAATCATCATCATCAGAAGAAAGGCATGTCAAATGGGCATAGGAGACAACTTGAAAGAACTTCCTATGACCAAAGCAGGAAGAACTTGAACAAGAAAATAAGTCACGATGGTGTTGGGCTATAAGCCAAAGGATAAAATATCCTTGAGTCCATATTAATAGAAACAGATGAATAAAAAAATAAGTGGGGGAGAAGGGACAAGAAGAATTCCAATTAGTAAACAGAGAAAGAATGAGGGAAATCCAAAATCACCATTAGAAGGCTGTAGTGATAATCACGGCAGTCAAGATCTGCCAGTGTTTATTAAAATAAGTATAAAGAAAAACAGCGCATCTGCAGTCTCAAGCACATCCTCGAAAATAAATACTTATTAATTACAAAAGAAAAATTAGTCCCTTTATTATGGAGAAACCTGACAGACAGACCCTTAGCCAAATGATCAAGATTGGGTGTAAATGGACATACTGACATCACATACCCTTGACGTGTTACAAGATGTCACTCCTGTGGTCTTCTTGTCCAAATCCACAGCATCAGTCTAATTATAAAAAAACACCAGAGGAACCCGAATTGAGGGACATTCTACAAAACAGCTGAAAGCCTTAAGCTCATGAAAGACAAGAACCACTGAAGCTGTCACAGGCAGAGACTAAAGAGACGGTACAACTAAATGCAATGTGGGATCCTGGATTTAATCCTGGTACAGAAAAAGGGCATGAATGAGAAACAGGTAAAATCTGAACCAAGTCTGTAGTTTACTTAATAGTATCGTGGCAATGGTCATTTCCTGGTGTTGATCATTGAACCATGGTTACATAAGATGTCAAGGCAATCGGGAGATGGGCACTCTCCTGCACTATTCTGCTACTCTTCTACACATCTACAGTTATACTAAAATAAAAAGTTTAAAAATTTTTTAAAAATATGAAGCATTGAGGTGAAACAGCAGAAGGATGTCATCAATTCAGAAACTGAACACCAAAAAAAAGGAAAGAAAAGAAACTGATCACCAGTTCTACCTCTAAGGACCTGAATGATGTAGGCCAAGGTCCATACCCTCAGTACAAGATTAAACAGGACAGGCCCCAACCTGACATCCTGCAGGCCTGACAGCATTTGTCCTGGAGTCACTGCCCACATTCTCTCCATTCCTTGCCTTCCCACTCCCCCGCACCACACATACACACACTCCCCTGTGACTTGGCCGGGTCAGGCTGAATGAACTTGTGAGGCTCAAGTGCCCCTGCAGGCGTAAGTACACCACAGAACCCAGAAGTAAGGGGAGAGGGCTGCCCCTAGAAGCCTGATGTCTCCTGCAGGGGAGCTGTGCTTAACATTACTGGGGAAGGAGGAAGAGGCAGCGCTCCTGGAGGTGCACCCTTAAGCTCCACAGAGAAGAGTGAGTAAGTGTGAATGAAAGTCGCTCAGTCATGTCTGACTCTTTGCGACCCCATGGACTGGCCTCCAGGCCAGAATACTGTGTGGGTCCCCTTCTCCAGGGGATCTTCCCAACCCAGGGATCAAACCCAGGTCTCCGGCATTGCAGGTGGATTCTTTACTAGCTGAGTCACCAGGGAAGCCCCTGTCCACAGAGAAGAGAAACCAAGCCTGTCATTAAAAGTGACAGTCAATGTTCAGTTTACCACTTGCCAAGTGCTAAACCTACTTCACAGGCATCACATGACTGAACTGTCCAATTACCCTCTGAGGTAGGTGCTATTATCTCCATCTCACAGAGGAGGAAACTGAGGTCAAAGAGTTCATGTAACCTGTCCAAGGTGGCAGCGCTGACAAGAGGTGGGTTGAGCCTGCATTTAACCCACATGTAACTGCAAGGCACAGGCTTCACCATCACCTGCAATGCAAGCCTCTTATGTGACCTTCCTCCCGGGCAAGGCGGTAAGAGCATCTGGCCTTTCCAGACACCAGTGATGTCAAGAGCTTTGGAAAAGTGAAGAGGGCTGCCCATATACCGCCGTGAATCCAGAGGAGATCAGGAAAATCCATAAGGCACTTCCACAAGAGGGCAGACAAGGCAGGCCCTGATGTGAGGTGTAAACAGAAGAAAGAGTGGCTTCAAGAGCTGCGAATCAGAAGGCCGATCATCAGCATGTCGTCCTGTCACCCTAGGTCTGCCTGACAACAGCAGGTGGATACAGGAATCTGGACAATGTGATGTCATATGGCCTCTCCAAACCTACTGCCATAAACAGCCATGGCAGTCTCATGAAGTAAGAGTCCCCGCCCTGCCTCCCTGACATGTAGAGAGGAAGCCAAACCAGATGATGAATTTGCAAATCCTGGGTAAACTCTACCTTGTCATATAGTAATAAGGAATTAAGTTATTAGGATAATTATTGCTATTACACAAGTGTGGGGCTTGTTAAAGACACTGATGGCTGTGCAGTCATTAAACCTCATTAAAGAGGAAAAATATGTCAGTAAAAAGCTGGGACTCAGCTCTACAGGAAGACACAGACCAGGCGAGGGGCCAGCCAGCTCCCATGCAGGAACTGGATGCAAGCCAGCACTGGGAGCAGCAGTGGGGAGGAGGCAAGGGGCCCAGGGCATTTGCAGGCCTTGCTGAGTCCACACCCTCTTCTCTGCATGTCAGAGGCTCCCGGAGCATGACCACAGGAGCTAACACAGTCCCCTCAGGGGCTCTCTCAAGCTAACATCCTAATTCCACTAGGAGTATTTGAGACATTAAACCGATTCTGGGAGCCACTCTGTAAGAGAGACTGACAAACTGGAATGAGTTAGGGGAGATGCCCAGACAGCACAAATGACTCGCCACCGCCTTTATGAGCAATGACTGAAGGAGCTGCAGCTATTTGGCCTGGAGAAGGTGTGGGGACCCCACAGAGCCATGGTCATAGCCCACAGGCTAAGTGTGTGTTCCAGGGAATGGGACGCTCCCTGTAGCTGGCAGCAGAATATGGGCCGAGAAGTGGAAGCTCCAGGGAGGTGGACTGTCAGAACAAGCCAAGGAAATGCTGTCTAACAACTAGAACCTTCCAGCAGTGGGACTGGCTCCCTGCCCCGGAGGCTGGGCACTGGCCATCCGGATCTGGGGAAGGAGTTTCTGACCACATACCTGCTGCAGTGTCGCCGCCCCCTTCTTGCCTGCGCCTTCCATCTTTGGTGAGCCTGGTCGCCCAGAGGTACCATCTTTACTGCTGCTCATCAACAACTTCCTAAGTTCCAGGTTTTCCTCCCTGGGTTGGAGGCAAACAGAAATGTCATACTGCCGGCCCCGGGTAGAGGCGACAGGGGGTCTCAGACCTCTTACTCGTCTGAATTGCAGCTGAGTCCTGGGGAGTAAGGAGAGTCCCTGAGACCTGCCCTGAGGCAGAACCACAAATGGCATCCTCACGCCACTCTGCAGGACCTCTCTGGAATTCTCTGATCTTCACCAACAATCCATCCCCAACTATGGGATGTCTGTATACATGAGATCTTCAGGATACATCCACACTGCATTAAATAGCCATGGATTAGGACATCCCTGGTGGTCCAGTGGTTAAGATTCCAGGCTTCCACTGGGGGGTGTGGGCTTGATCCCTGGTTAAGGAATTTAAGATCCTGCATGCTGCATGGTGCAGCCAAATAAAGAAATAACCCTGGTTCACACTCTGTGAGAAAGTTCCACCCTTTCCAATTATCCTCAGACATCCTGCATGGGGGTAAGTCTCAGTTTGGTGCTCATAGGTCCTGAGTGCCTCTCTAGCGCTTGCAAGTGTCCTGTGTTGACTGAGAAAGAGCAGCCTTCAAGGCTCAGAGCCTTCAGTGGGCAATTCACCAGAATTAATCATCTTTCCATTTTTGTTGTATTTATTGTTGGAGGCATCTTCTATTTATTCCAAGTAATGCTGTATTCCAGTTACTCTAGTGCAAGTTTTCTTTGTAATAATCTTCAGTAAAAACATGATGCAAATAAAATCCTTAAGTAAATAATAAAGTAGGTGATAAAAGATACAAGATAAATGGTGATGTGGATTCATGTATGACTGAAATATGGAAAATATTTCTTCATATTCTGTTTGCCAACTGGGTTCCATATGAAAATAGCCTCAGTTTCCCTCTGCAGGGTGAGGGGTTTGGCACACGTGATCTCAAAGGGCTGAGCTCTGATGGTCAAGACCAGTGTTTCTCTGGGGTGATCCTGGACACACTTATACTGTAACCTCAGAAAACGTGTTTATGGGTCCACTGGAAAATGCAGACACCTAGATCTCGCCCCAGGCCCACTGAATCAGAATCTCAGCACAGGATAGAGGGTGGAGAGTGCAAACTTGCAATGCCTTTCCTGACCCTCGGTGATTCTGACGTACAACTAAGTCTGAGACCAGGAGGCAGCCCGGAAGAGCATTCCCTGACGGTTCTGCAGGACAGGATGGTGACCAGCAGAGGGCAGCAAAGTCCAGAGCTCCATCTCCAGCAGCCAGTGAGAGAGCTGTTGCTAGCAGGCAGGTTCCCAAGGAAGGAGTGCACTTCCGTCCTGAACTTCTGAAGCTCTGAAGGCACTTTATACACAAACACTCCACGGTATTAAATGGACCAGAGAGGAAACACTCGAGGAGAAGGACCAAGAGACCTGACATCCAAAGCAGAGCTGGGCACAGGGCCCAGCGCTCTCAACCCAGGAATCAGTGCCACATACCACTGCCTTCCTCTTGCCCACCTGGCTCCTCACGCCTTCACTGCGGAGCCTGGACTTACCGCAGCCTCTCAGCAGCCTGATCCCGCTGTTCCAGGCCCTTATCAAGCTTGGACTTCAGGGCCTCATTCTCTTTCCGAAGCTGCTCACAGAGCGTCTGCAATGCAGAGAGAGGGAGATGGGGGCAAAGTAAGGGAAGGAGTACACCCCAAATGCAGAATGATGCTGGAGGATGGGGGAGGCACTATAACCACACCACATCCCAACACGATATCCCCATTGCATGGCCTCACCCAATTCCTCTTGGGACAGCAGGAGTCAAGCCAAAGTCCCACTCAAGCTCCTCTCTGCATCAGCTCCCTCAGGAGCCAGCCATGAGGAGGCCTGACCAAGAGTCAGCCACAAGGCCTTCTGGTCCTCCAAGGTCATCCCTCCTCCTCTGTTCCCACAGCCCAAAATGCTCTTCCACACCAGCTGTCCCCTCTGACTTCTACTCCTGCTTCCAGTCTTAGCCTAAATGTCAAACCTCCTCCGAGAAGTCCTCCCTGATTCCCACATCTCAGGTAAGCCAGGTCACCTCCATTATCCTTGCCCACAGGTCCCTGCTCTCACCCTCCTGGTACCTGTGACAATTACAGCTACAGAATCATCAGTGTCATTACTTTCTTTGTATCCACCCACCCCACGCCCTACTAGTCCACAAGCTTCCAGAAGGCTGGGATCCCCTCACCACTCTCTTGTCCCCTGCAGGACCCCCACCTAGCCCAGCATCCAGCACAGCTCAACACTTAATTTCACTGAAAGAATGTACAACTGAATGACTGAAGTGCCAAATGAATGAAGGACCATGAAGACCTGAGTCCTAAGATGCCTAGAGCTTAGGCGATTTGGAGAATGAATGAGGCATCGAAGCGGGGGTGGTCATGAGGTTGTCAGCTGGCAAGTGGGAAGATAGGGTATATGGTCAAGATGTCATCAATTCCCAGTGTAGCTCAGGATTTCCTCACTTCTGAGGCACAATTCCCTTCCTTACAAAGCGGGGCAACTACTCCTCTCCTGCCTCCCTTATAAGGCTTCTATGAGGACCTACAAGACCGGGAGAACGTAAGGGCCTTGTCAGCTGCCATGCCCTTGATAACCTTTGAGGATGCGTGTCTGAAGTGCTGTGAGGTGGGGGACATGGAAGATGGGCAGTCAGATTCAGGGCCTCACAGACGGAAGGAAGGGAGTGGCTAACTAGTAACGGAGATGCACCAGGTCAGGACTAAATGACTCAATCTTTCAACAAATATCTAGTGAGCACCTAACCTGGGACCTATACACAGTGGGGTGCTCTTCCACTCACTGCCTCAGTGGAGCCTCACAGCTTTCCCAAAGCTACACAATTCAGCTCACTTTTTAATGCTGGCCAGGGAATTCCCTGGTGGCCCAGTGGTTAGGACTTGGCGCTTCCACTGCCATGGCCCAAGGTTCAGTCCCTGGTTGGAGAGTTAAAATCCTGCAAGCTGAGGGGTATAGCCAAACGTAGGCTCTCTCTCTGTCTCTCTTTAGTCCCTAAGTCGTGTCCGACTCTTGCGACCCCATGGACTGTAGCCTGACAGGCTCTTCTGTGCATGGGATTCTCCAGGCAAGAACACTAGAGTGGGCTGCCATTTCTTTCTCCAAAACATAGGCTAGTACAGATAAAAAAATGTGCATAAGGTTGCATAGCTCTTAAGAATCACCACTGGGATTAAACACCATCTGGCAGACCCTAAATGGTGCCTCTTTCCCCTGTGATGAAAGAGCAGAGAAGGGAGGTGGCACTCTGTGAGTCAGGCTGGAGGCAGAAACAGTGAGTGATATTCACTGGACCTTTCACCCACTCCCTCCTGTTTCCCAGGCTTGTTGTGATCATATGACCAGTTGTGGCCAATGAAAGCTGAGTGCAAGTGACAAGTGTCACCTCTGGGCTGGCTCATGCCCAATTCTCTGGTCTCTTTTTCCCTGTGGCTGCCTCATATTCCAAAGGGCACAAGACAGTGGGGGCCTTGTTTCTGCCACAAAGCAGAAACAAGCCCCTTCCACACAGAACACGAGGAAAAATGTTTACAGTATGCAGGGAGATTTCAGAGCTGCTTGTTTCCACAGCAAAATCCAGCCCTCTCTGACACCCTGGAACTCAAGGGTGATCAGACATGAAGGAACAGAAAACCATTGTGACTGACTGCAATGTCCAGCAGAGGCCTCATGCCATGCCTGGCCTTAGAAACGCTGAGGGAACCAAGAAACAAATCAATGAAAGAATGACAAGGGACTGGATTAATCTACCTCCACCCACAGGCTGGGAAAATACACAGGATGCCACGGCCCTGGGTGGGGCCTCCAGAGAACAGAACGTCCTGCTTTGGGCGCTAAGAGAAGGCCAGGACAAGGCCTCACGTGCTATCCTTCTGGGCAAGAGGCAAATATCCTGGGCACAAAGCAGATGAATGAGAGAGGTCATCACAAAGGTCACTATCTTCCATCAAAGTGGCTAAGAGAGCTCATGAGTGAGTCCATTTGTTCATTCATTCATTCATTTACCAAATGAGCAGTCCGCACCTATGAAGTGCCAGACACTGGCAGTGGTGGACATGTCAGACAAGGCACCTGCCCCTTTTGTGAGGCCTACATTCTAGCAGGGAGCATAAGGAAAAAAACAAATACAAAGAAAGCACTTAATAAAATTATTACAAACTATGGTGAGAGCTAAGAAGGAAACAAATAGGAACCTGATAGGAAAATAAGGGGTGAGACTTCCTGGAGGCCCAGTGAGTAAGACTCTGTGCTTCCAATGCAGGGGGCATGGGTTCGATAACTGGTTAGGGAACTAAGATCCTGCATGCCGCACAGCATGGCCAAAAAAAAAAAAAATCTGAAAAAGAATATGTGTGTGTGTGTGTGTGTGTGACAATCACTCTGCTGTATGCCTTGCCTAGGAAGGAAATCTAACTTCATTCTCACAGCACAGGGAGGGTTATGAAGGGGAAGCCTCCTCCACTGGGGAGGCAGGCTGGGACGGTAGTTAAGAGCATGGACTTTGGAATAAGACTTAGAGATTCAAATTCTAGCTGCACCATCTACTAACTGGGGAACCTTAGGCAGGGAAAAAAAAAAAAATCACCTCTCGAGGGCTGTGGCCCCCGCTGTGAAGTGGGGATAATGATGCTCCTGCCTCAGGGGGCAGGGCAGTAACATGCAAGGGGCCAGCCCCTGTCCCCTCCCTGTCCACACCTGTATGTGAAGAACAAAGACAAGGATGCTGCCAACCTGGTGCATCCACTGCTTCCAGAATCACCCCAACCATGAAATTTGCATCACCCACCCCATCATTTCCCAATTTCCTTCCTCGTCCCTTCCCACAAGTTCCTTACCCCGCTCACCACCTTGAACAAGAAGCCCGAGACGGGTCCCCAACCACGCCCTTGGAAATCCCTGTGGTCCCCTGGACCCCTCAGAAGAGCTGGAGGAAGTGGAAGGGGAAACCACACGGCCAATCCCGGGCCACCCGCCCTGGGCCTGGCCTCACCTGTAGGATGGAGGTACGCTGCTCGTTCTTGTGCACCTTGGAGGCCAGCCGGTTGAACTCGAGGGCCATGCGGCCCAGGTGCGTGAAGAGCTGGCTGTGGTCGGGCTCCTCGGCGCAAACGCTCAGGGTGGTCTCCAGGCGCTGCAGGTGCAGCATCAGGTTGCTGTCCTCCTGGGGCAGGGGGCCCAGCTCCTGGGGGTGGAGGGTGGGGGCAGACAGCTCTTCAGCACAGCCTGAGCAGGTCTCACCAGCCTTTCTCCCTCTGCTTCCCCATTCCTCATGACTCAGTTTCCCCTTCTGATCCCAGCTCAGCCTGGGGAAATTCTCCAATTACCCAGGTTCCCTGTCTGGGGCTGACTCACAGTGCAGGCCCCAGGACTCCCAGGCCACTGGCTGTCTCACCAGTAGTGGAGCCGCCTTCCTCCCACACTCCGGGCCTTGCCGAGGGCCTCTGGGTCAGTCACGTGTTTATGGGGCCTCAGAATCCTCATCTACTGCACACACACACACACACTTTCTTCCCTTCCTCCCCACAGGGTTCCCCTGCAGGTGAACTGTCACATGAAAGCGGCAAGCCCAGGAAAAAGTATCAGTCTACCTACAGCGCTGCTTCTTCCACTCATCAAGGCTCGGCCCTCAGACATCGAAACCGTCTATCATGTCTGTTCCCGTGTCTTCTGGGGGATGATCCAAGCATTCACCAACTTCTCAAAGGACCCAAGACTCAAGACCCAAGACTCAAAACACACTAAGACGCATAGCTCTAGAACTTCCCTGGTGGTCCAGTGGTTAGGAGTCCGTCTGCCTACAGAGGACGCAGGTTTGGTCCCTGGTCCGGGAAGATCCCACATATTGCAGGGCAACTAAATCCATGCTCCACAACTACTGAGCCCGCGCTCTAGAACCCACGAGCCACATCTATGGAAGACTGCATGCTAAGAGCCCATGCTCTGCAATGAGAAGCTACAGCAATAAGGAGTCTGTGCGCCACAACAAGCGCTTAGTTCCTGCTAACCACAACTAGAGAAAGCCTGTGTGCAGCAATGAAGACCCAGCACAGCCTCAAGTTTCGGGTCTAGAAACCAAAGTGTGGGGAGAAGGCAGCTGCCCAAAGTTGCCCTGTGAATCAGTGGCAGAGCCAGGGCCAGACCCTGGGCTTCCCCATGCTCTATCCATGGTGACTTCCCTCGTCTGAACTCCGCAGCAGTGGAAATGCCCTGAAGGCCATAGCACGGTGTCCAGTGAATGGCGCCGTAACACTGTCAGCACCTTATTCTAACAGGTGCTGCTGCCCCTTCAATTCTGCCTTCATCCCTCCACGGCCTCTTTCCACACAGGGTCTGAGGCAGCCAGTGGTGCTCTTTTTAAAGCTGGTGGCCTGTGCCATCTCTCTGACCTTTCTGACTGGCCTGCAAGCTCCCAGAGGACAGGGAGGCTGTCTTGTCTTTGCTCAGCACAGACTAAGCTCATGGTGGTGTGAAGGATGAACCTACTGATGAGATGAAGTTCAGGGTCATACAGTGAAATGCTTTCAGAGCAGGCAGTGGGGGGTGGGGAATCGTGCCTCCTTGGCCAGCTTCTCAGAACCCTCAGGGACACAACAGGACCAAGGGCAGACATTCCCAGGGGAGGAAACACAGAACCTTCCTGATACCCAGAGCTGCCCCATGTCCCCAAAGCCTCTCCACTGGAAGCTGCGTGACAGCCTGATGGAGACCTCACCCTGGGGACTGACTCACACAAGAGACAATCAGTGAACTAAAGAGCAACCTTTTTGTATCCTGCCTTGCTAATTCAATATTTTTAATTTTTATATGTTAATGTATTTTTTGGCTTTTAACTTGAAATTTTAACCTTTTAATCAACTGCTCATAGCTTAAAGAGTCAAATTGTTCTCCAAGGTTTGCAATGGGAACCAGTAGTTTCTGCCTCACTTCCCTCCTCTCCCCAGTTCCCACTTCCCAAAGCCTTTCACTTTAAAGAACAACATTCGTGCCCCAAATAAGGCAGTGGAAACCGAGGCATCAGTGAAGGGTTAGACGACCTACTGTCTGTATAACAATAAAAAAATCTCCAAGGGATGAGGGAGACAGAAGGAGAGGGTAGGATGTGGAAGATTTCTGAAGAATGTTCCATGCCTTCCTCAATGGTTCTCCAGTAAGTCTGCCATTTTAAGAGAGAGCAGGGTGACACAGTTGGAATAAAAGCAGCAAAGGTAAAGTGGGGACCAGGTGGACACCTCAGAGCTGGTGGACTGTGTATGTTTTTGTGTGTATGAGCCCAAGGTTTAACTTCCTACATACATGCCCCAAAGGGGAGTCTGGGAGAACCCAAGAGCCTGCACAGAATGCCAATCATCTGACTCAAGCTGCTCTGGGTTCTTCTGACCCTTTCTACTCCACCTGGGCTACGAGCCCACAGGCCCAAAGGCTGAGTCATAGCGTGCAGAGGTGCTGGGTGCCTGGTGGAGGCAGCGGGGCTGGCAACGTGCCTGGACTTTCACAATGGTCGGTACTCGTGTGGCCCACGGGGAAGTCACCAGTCACGGATTTGCATATGTGAGCGAGAAACACACACCCCCCCCCCCCCCCCCCCGGCGCTGGCCCCTCGAGCCTATGCCAAGTGACTCCGAGGTACCCAGGGGATGTGAGCGTGTCCTGTGCCTCTCACCCGGGGCCAGGTGACTGAAACAGAGAGGAGATGGGGGATGTGCCCACGGACCTGCCGTCCACTCACCATCGTATTTCTGGTGTGGCCGCTGCTCTCCGGTGAAGAAGAACCCTCGGCGGGGACCAGTTCAAATTCAGAGGAGGTGTTCTGTGCAGAAAAAGGGAGTCAGGGGACACCTGGGAGAAAACCCCTTGCCCCTCCTCTATGGACCCTATAGCTGAAAGTGTGGAGGGGGCACAGAAGGGAGGAACCAAAAATCCCTTCTCACATCCAAGTCCTCTGGGCAGCCCCTCCGTGTGGGAGGTGCCAGCCCAGGCTGAGCTCACCAACCATGAAGCAGGAATAAATTCCAGCAAGTCTGCCGGCAGCCCACTGTGTGACTCGAGGTCACATTCTCCATGGCCAGTTTCCACATCTGTAAATCAGGGATACTGGGCTAGCTGACCTTCAAAGTACTTAGCATTTTTGGATCTTATCTTTTTTTAATGGCCTTGCACTTATAAAGTACTTTCATGAGGACTCCCCTGGTGGTCCAGGGGTCAGGACTCTGTAGGGCGCACAGGTTCTTGGAGAACTAATATCCCACATGCTGTGCAGCACAGCCAAAAAAAGAATAAAAATAAAATGTTTTCCTGAACTCCATTTTTTCTCCAAGCAACCAGAGGGAGTAGTCAGAAGGTTACATCCCCACTGGACAGAGGAGAAAACTGAGGGCCTCTCACTTATTATAATAAATGCAAAAGTAGGACTGCATTTCAAGGACCACAAATCCAACATCCCTGTGATGGCACCTGAGCCATGTCCCAGACCTAGGAGTCCCCGACTGGTTATCTGGGAAAAACAGGCAGCAGTGAGTGTGGCCACGGCCATGGCGGTCCTGTGCCTGCCTTGCCAACCCAGTCCCAGAGATCCCAGGGGACTGGACTGATCTGGGGTAAGTCTCAATGAGAAACTGGCAAACTTAGAGAGACTTTTTTAGGACACACACAAATCTAGGGTGAACTAGGACTCCAGACTTTGCCATGTCTCCCAGCCACTCCAAGTAGCAGACACTGGTTGTACAACCAACCGACAGGCCGCTGGTCCCACTGGACCAACAACTGGCTCTGGGACTGCTGCTAAACCTGGTCGAACAAAGGTTAACTCAGCCTTCCCTTGTCCCAGGAAAGGGATCGAGGGATCTCTTGTGCTCAGCTTCTGCTGAGCCCCCCGGCCTCCAACTTTCTAGGCCTTGGCACTGCCCCAGAAAGTTTCCCTCTCCCCTCTACTCCTCCTCAGCTGTCCTACATGACCTCGAAAAACATTCTTCTCTCTCTGAATCTCATCTGTGGGATGGAGACTCTAAATGACATGACCACCCTGAGTCCCTTCCAGTCCTAGGATACCAAGTCGACCTTCTCAAGGCAAATCTGCAGAAGAGAGTTTTGAAGCCCCTACTGAGAAGGTGAGCTGCCTGTCATGTCTGCCTACTTTCTGAGCACTGTGCAGTCGATACGTGCTTAACATTACACAACCAGGCAGATGGAAGGAACTCCTTGTGCATATCAGGGTTTTCCTGGTGAGAATTAACTCTGACCTTCATATGAAAATGAGGAAACCGAGGCCCCAGAGAGACTGAGATTAACTCGCCAATATCACCCAGCAAGTCAGAAACCAGGTTTCCTGACCCCAAACATTTCTCTTCCTATTCTGCCAACGGGACCTTGAGATCTAGGCAACTTTTTGTCATGATTCCAAATGCAACTTACACTGGATGGAGGTTTGGGGACTGGCTCTGGCTTGTCGCTTGGGTGTGCCGGGTCAGCAGGGGTTGCTGGGACAGCTGTGTCCTTTCCTGGAGAATTGACAAAACGTGTGTGAGAAGCAGAGAAAGAGGAAAAGCCCAGATGCCACCCCCTTAAGAATGGCCTTGGCCCGGAGAGTTCTCAGAGTTCCTTCCACTAGTCTGGGGAGATGTGAGGTGTCCCAGGATGACGGCCCTGGAACAACAGGGCAGAACCTGGGCAGAGACCATCTTCCCTGCTCTCACTGGGAAAATCCCAAGGTGATCATTGCTCCTTGCTACTTTGGACCTACCTCAATAACGACACGGATGACAATTTACAATTAACAAAGTGTTTTTATATTTACTATCTTGGCCAATTCTCAAGACAGCTTTGTATCCCCATTTTAAAGGTAAGAAAACAGCCACAGAAAGGTCACCCATTGACCCCGCTGGCAACTGCAGAACTGAGCTCTCCCTCCCTGAATTCCTGGGGCTATTGTCCCAGGAAGCCTCCGGAGGGTAGCTGCATGGTTCCTTCCTAAGGTGAGCCTGGCATCCATTCAGGACTCAGAAAATACTATTGAAGATAGTAGAATTATATGTAACCTTGTTTTGTATTTTCCTAGTCTGTAAATGTTTTATCATACTTTCATAATTAAAAAAAAAAAAGAAAATACTATTGAATGGACAAGTGGAAGCTGGCAATGCCCGCTGCTTGCAGCATAGCAGACTCTGGGGTCATCACTCTCCTCCATGCGTCCATTCAGTAAATGTCACCAGCAGCTGAGTGGAAGCTTGGTACACTGGCCTGGGCTGAGGCTGCAGGTTACCTAACCTGCAGGAACCATCTGAGTCCTTTTCTTCCCTAGTTTCAGACCTTGCCCTGGATGTGGAGACATGCCAGAGGAACGCATGTGATTACACACAGGACTTTAACCCTAAGTCACATTCGGCACTTTCCTTTAATAGGCAGTATATGGACCTGACATCTGAAAGGTGCTGCTGCAGGCCGAGAGGCAAGCCCAGTTCTGCCATGGGCCTCAGCCTCCTCGCCTGTAAAATGGAAGCGGGGCAGGGTAGACCAGAGAGCTTCTGACTCAGATGCCAACTCTAGCAACCCAAAAGTGTTGCCTGGAGCGCAATGCCTGGCACATAGTAACTGCTCATCAAATATGTACTGAGTAAGTTATATTGATAAAGATCCTGAGCCCACATCCTGGAAGGAGTGGATTGTTGCAATCCATTTCTAATGTCTGTCAGGGTCTCAGGACTGCTGAGTCACCAGCCATTTCTGGACAAGATTATTTTGAGGTCCTTTCCAAATCTGACCTTCTGGGGGATGCTGTAGCCAGAACATGATTGGGAGGACAGTCTGCAGCCTAAGGATAGACAAAGGAGAGGTGGGTTTCTGACTCAGAAGGGACTCCTCGATTAAGGGCCTAGAGAGTGAGGGTATGGGCAGAGGACCGCCCAGGCTCCCCTCATACCTGCGAGCTCAGCCAGGTCACTGAAGGAGGCCAAAGAGGGAGATGGCGGTGGGAGTGGCTCACTGTCCTTGACCAGCTCCTCTGCCTTCTGCCGCAGCCTGGATGCTTCCATCTGGGACTCTTCCAAAAGTTCCCCTGGGGAGACAACGGGGGAAGGAGGAGCAAAATTACTCAGTTAAATATGCTGGCTCTCCACCCTGACCCCCTATGCCTATTCTGTCTGGGTTTGGTGCTCCAGGTCCCGGACTTCGCTCCCTGCATCACCTCGGGGGCTCCATGGGACACATATCATTCCAGCCCAAGGCCAGAAACAGCCTGATAAGGAAGAGGCCTTGAAACCAGAGGGAACGGAGCAGAGGGGAATCGGGAACAAACTTCTGGCCTCCAGCACCTTCTTCCTGCCCCATTCCTGCCACACCTGACTGAGGATTCCACAAAACCAGGGGCTCTTTCAGGCCCACCATCATGGTCCCAAGGGGGGCTACCCACAGCCTACAGCCTGCAGTCAGGGGCTCCCTGAAGAGAGGAGACCCTCCATAACATCAATCACCCACCACCCCTCTGGGCCTTGTTTGCCTTCTTGTATAAGTAGAGACAGGGAAACACCATCCCTCCTTCGCCAATCTGCCATTCCAAGGAGAGATCTGCCAAGCAGGGAGAACACATTTGGGAAATTGGGAGCTATACTCAACTCCCAAAGCTCAAGGCCAGAGAATGGGGCAGCAAGGTGAAGGAAGAGCTTTAGGAATCTGGAGGAAAGGGTCCCCTTCTGCATGGGGAAATCAGTGAACACCTCTCATGGAGGAAGAGTCAGCATCTGAGCTGGGTGCTGACAGACGGGGACCGGTCAGCCATGTGGAGGGAAGCGGGCTAGTCCTGGGCAGTGGCGACAGCTTGGGTGAGAGCCGGGAATCAAGGGGTCTCCTCCTGCCCTGCTTCAGGCCAAGCTGGACTCCCTGCTCTAACACTTGGGGGCTGGACCCTGGTTGCCCTGGTGATGCCAGTTCTCCCCATTTTTGGTGCTTCTGGTAAACGGCCTATTCATGGCTACTCCCCAGGTCTGCCAACTGGGCCTGCCGGCTCCCTCTCCACCACCCCACACCTCCTTCTCAGTCCCTCACAGTGTTCTGAGTCTGGTCATCAGGGTTCCGGGGTGCTGGGGACACAGGGCTGGGAAGACTGCCACCTTGCTAGAGGAGTGCACAGCGACGCAGCTGTAAGCAAGGAGCGGATGCTGGGCCAGGAGGGAGGGAGGGGACCTGGGCAGAAGCGTGCGCCAGTCAGCACTGCAGGCTGAGGGCGGAGCTCTGGAGGGAGAGGGCAGGGTCTGCTTTACCTAACATCTTTATCCCTTGCATTTTTTCCTTCAGTCGGGAATTCTCCTCCACTAGGCGCTCAAAAGCTGCGGACGCCTCTCCCAGAGGCACGCCGCCCCCAGGGTCGTAGATCCGGTATGGTCCTCTCCCTTCCATGAGGCTGGCTCAGCCCCTGCCGTGGTACCCGCCTGGCTGGAAGGACAACAGCAGTATGTCAGGGGGCTGGCCGAGCCACTGAAGCATCCTAGACAATCAATGCCCTGGAAGGCAGTCCCCAGAACCCAGATGAGGACACAGCACCACAGGCTGGTCTGCCCATGGCACAGCAGGGCAGGATAGTCGCTTCCTTTGATCTGGGTACTCTGTCTCTATTCAGGTGACCTAAGAACACCACCAGTGTCTTTTGGCAGCCTCACTGCACCGCCAGTTCACTTGGAACAGCAGTCAACTGTGAGGTGCAATGTGGAGTATAAGAAAAAGCATTGGCCTGGGAGTCAAAACACGTGAACTTCATGTCCTACTGATGGGGTCCAGAAGAAGCAGGACCCTGAATTATTGCATCCCCAGCACCCAGCAGGATATTAGCTCTGATGGGAATGTCCAGTAAACACTTATCGAATGAATAAATAGTCTAGCTATTAACTCACTGTGGGATCGTGGGCAGTCCCTTCCCCTCTCTGAGGAGGGGAAATGAAAGTCTTACACTAAATCAGTGATCTTTAAAGTGAAATGTTGTGCCCAAAGGGATAAGCAAGTCATCCAATCTGAAGTTCCATTTATATGTACACTAGCTTTTCTAAAAGAAAGAAGAAAAAGAAACCCCCCTGACTAATATTTAATATACAAATTGACACTGTCACCCTCCTCCTTCCAGTTCTAATGAACAGATGGATTTTCCATCAAAGTACCATCTGCTTGTGCAGCAAGTGTTCTGCATTACTCTGTTCGATTTCACAGGCTTTATTTCATCTGAAACCTCTCTGCAAAGTGATTTCAGGAATCCGACTTCTGTGACAGTAGAGAAGCTTCTTTCTTGCATTCATTCACTCAACAATTATTGATTGAGCATCTGTTCTGTGCTGGATGCTAGTCTAGGTGCTAGGTAATTATCAGCAAACAAAATAGACCAAAAAAAAAAAAAATCCTTTTGGAGCTTACATGGTAGTGGTGGAAGAAGACAGACAATGAAAGAGATGAGCACCGTATTAGGGGTAATGGGAATATCTACAGACAGAAATTAAGCAGGAAGTATGAGGTAGGGCCTTAATTTTAAATGAAGGTGTCAGGAAAGGGCTCACAGGGAATGAGTGCTCGCCTTCAGGGCTCACCTGAAGGAGGTGAGGGAACTAGCCATGCAGATATCTGGGGGAATATTATTTTAGGTAGAGAGAACAGTAAGTGCAAAGGCCCTGAGGCTGAAAAACTGATTCAGCCTCCAGCCTTACAAAGACCTTACCAACCACAGAAGAGCTCCAAAGGTTTCCACCACCAGGGGCTCCAGAAGGACTTGGAGCCCCGATACCCCCCTCCCAAGGTCACCACCCCAAAGGCCAAAATGATCCTCAAAAGATCCTTTGAGCACCCACAAGTGCTTTACTAAAAGAAAAGAGTACAAAAAAAAAAAAAGACTAATAATAACAGCTCATTCATTAACCTACTTGCCAGGCAGTACATTAAATCCTTCAGCTGCATTATCTCAGTTAAGCTGTACAATGGCCTGAAAATATATAGTATTATCCTCACTTTATAATGGATGCTCAATGAGGTTAGAAAACTCAGACAGGATTACACAGCCAGCAAGTGAGGCAAGATGCAGATCCAGGTCCACCTAAGAAAGCTGAGTTGACCACCTGCTATTCTCACATAGCTCCCTCCAAGACTCAGGCCAGAGGGGCAACAGGCAAGTTCAAGCCTGTTTGTAAGATAACATGGAGCTCCTATCCAGTCACTCTGGGCTGTTTCCCTTGCCCTATAGCACAAGAGATAACAAGGATTTTGGCCACAGGGTCCCCATTACCCTGGGATGCCATGAGCCAGAAAGAAAAACAAAGTTCTGGTGAGTGGGACCCCTGTCCCCCAAAGACTGACAAACAAGAGAAACTCACACTTGTGAGCCACCGACACCCCACGGAGCCCCCGACACCCCACGGAGCCCCAGAGGCACAGGACAGCTGCCCACACACCCAACACAGAAGTCACCAGCTCACGGGGGACTTATTTTTAACTCAAAAGATCAACATTACACAGCAGAGCAAAGAAAGCTCTGAAGTGCTCACTGAATTAATTAGAAGACAGTGTGGGTAAGGCACCTGGCACAGTGACTGGCATGTAGCAAGGAGCTCCAAATGTTGGTAGATGTTGGGGGTGGGTTCCTACCTCTGTGCTCCCCTTTCTCCTGTGAGCCTCTCCAGCAAGCCCTTATGCCCAGAATGGAATACATATGACTGGGGTAAGTCTTTATGTATCTGACTGAAAACCTCCTGGAGGCAGGAGCATGCTCTCCTCATCTGTGGTGCCAGTGCAGGCCTGACACTTGGAAAGTGAGAGGTGACTGACAGCTGAATGGAGTCCACAGATGGGGAGATCGCAACCTGAAAGGAACCCTAAGCACCTCTGGTGATAAGTGACAGCGGGTGTCTGGGTTCCTGCTCACCACTCCACACTCACCTTGCATGGAACTCACAATTGACAATATGTGATAATTTGGGAATATTTTTGCTCCACACTTGGCTTGCCCAATAGATTAGAAGCTCCAGGAGAGCAGCCACCAAGTCCATCTGGTCTACCAAGGTGTCGTCAGCGTGGTCCAGAACAGAGCCTCAGTAAATCTTTAATCAGAGCAGAGAGATGGAAAGGACCAGAGGAGCCCTTGATCCCACACTCGCCTCCTGAGAAGCCATGTGCAAACATCCTGAGAGCCTAACTGTGATCCACTGACCAGAGACACCGGGACAGCCATACACTTTTGGATCAAGCCCGGCACAGCCACGCTGCCTCAGAGATGCCCAGATGTAACACCAAGCAACAGAGCAGGAGGCAGGACCCAGGAACTGAAATCCCACCTTCACAGTCTCCAAACCATGCATGCTCTCCCTCAGCACTGGGAAGCCTCCAGGGAAGGGGGCTCAGGGGAAGCAGCTGAGGGGCAGGCAGGCTATTCTCTCGACTCCAGCCTGGGTGGGCAGAGCTGGGGGCAGGGGGAGAGCACAAGCTGCAGGCAGAGGGAGCCCAGAGCAAACAGCCTACTGTGAGAAAGTCTTCCCTGGAGACCAGAAGAGCTACCCAAAGGACAGCTTGGACTTCTGGAGGCAAGAAACACAAAGAGGGGAACAGGGAATTTCCACATCCCACTGACCTCATGCCCAGATGGTCAGCGGCAGTTTCAGGATGACTTCCGGGCAGATGGGAATTCTCCTCCTGGTCTGTGTGGTTCTGAGAGCTTTCCTAGAGAGGGGACTTATTCCCAGGATGACAGAGATGGACAGGAATTTCCAAGGACAACGAGGCCAAGTCCATTACCAGGCGCCCCAAGGCTCCTGGAATGAGGGCCTGCGTCATCATCCTGTCTCCCACGCTGACGGGACATTTCCCTCCATCACAGACCGAGGAATGGGCGTAGACAGGGGAAAGGAGGTGCTGACCCCACCCCTCATGTCTCGCTTGGGGCAGTACTGGAGCTCAGTGCCTAGGCATCGCGGGACATGAGCTCATCTGACCCTCACTCAGGGTGTGAGGGCAGCAGTCAGGCTCCGGAGCATGAAGACCAAGGTCACACACAATGTCAGGATGGAGCTGGAAGGGCCCTGCTCTCTCTCCAGTCTGCCTCTGCCCCATCTCCATTTTTGTTCCTGCACTCACTCACTGCACTGCAGATCCCCCTCTCCGGTTCTTGCCAAGTCAGCATGGACTCTGGGTCCACCTGGGCCTGGGTCTAGCAGCTACAGATCAGGTGACCCACCAGCAGGAGACACCAATCCACCGTGCAAAAAACAGACACAGCTGGGGGTGAAGACACAGGCAGCTCAGACCTTCTTCCAAAACAAGATCCTGGTTCAAGGTTGGGGGGCGGGGTCCCCACAGCCCACCCTGAAAAACCTGGGGGCGCCCCCTGGAACCAGAAAGGCCTGGTTTGGGGGCAGAAAAGGGCCCAGACAGATGGCTGGTCAAGCAGTGACCACAGAGTGTAGAGATGAAGATGATGCTATTGAAACTGAAGGAGCCAGAAGAGGAGGAGGAGACAGCAGCTGAGGGGATGGAGGTGGGGTGAGGAGGGAGGGGTGAGTAGGGGTCGGAGGGTGGGGATGGGGAAGATGGGAAGGAGTAGGGGTGGGTGGGGCACGGGCCCAAATCGCAACCTCCACCCAAGGCAAAGGTTGAAAAAGGCTAGGTTCAAAATGAAGTTTTCATTCCAGTTTCTGCGCTGAGACACTTCAGTCCATCAGAGGCTGTCTTTCAATTAGCTGTGTGCTGGTGCCAGGAGTAGGGGCTCCCAGGGTCCCCAAATGATATGAATTTGTTTAGTAACATTTGCAAAATCGCTATGATTTCTCAAGCATGTTTTTCCACTGGATTGTCAAGAGAGCCATGGGAAGAAGGCAGGACTGACATCTGTTCCACAGGTGAGGAAACTAAGGCCCACTTGGCAGCTTAGCCTGATCTAATGCCACTGGGCACTGGCTGCATCCTGAGGCCAGCCAGACCCTGCAGCTCTGGGGGAAGTGAAGTTCTCGCTAGCCCAGGAAGGACAGCCTGAGTAGATCTCTGGCACTGGGAACTGGGAGGACACAGTGGCCAGCAGCGACCTCTCCAGGGAACGGCAGGGGCTGCCAGGGATGCTGGTGGGTAGGGGTGACAGTGTGGAGAAGGGAAGGGTCTCCAGAAAGAAGGCAAGGACAGAAAGTCGGAAGTCCTGGCATCTACTCTATTGCACACTCTGACGGCCACGGGGGCAAGCTGTCCATTCTGTGCACCTCAACTCCCTCACAGGCACAGAGGGAGGAGCCTGGACTAGACAGAAACTGAGTGATGTCTTCATGCTGGCCTAAGGGTCCATGGAGACCCAAACTCTGGGAGTCAGCCACAAGGTAAGAAAGAGCGGGGGACCCAGCACACACGTACCAGATGGTACAGCCCCAGATCAGGAAGAAAGGGTCCCGACAGGGCAGGATCAGAGACAAAAGCAGATGGGGCAC